ATAAAGGAAGAGATGAATGCAAAAATAACCTCCTAGACATTAGAGTGCGGAACAGAAGGGAGGTAAACTAACAAATATAGCACGAGAGATGAGAGGAAAGAGTAGGTGGAAAAAATGGACAGGGAGAAGTGAAGACGAGCAGAAGGAGGAAGGAGAGGAGATAGGGAGGGAGAGAAAGGAAATGAGGGTATTGAGAGGAGCCCGTCTGTATTTACACCACATTATTGCTGCTATGGGAAGAGAGGAACATTCTTTTTTCTCTAAACCAGACTCAAACATAAGTGCTCCAAATAGTAATAATGATAACAAAAACACATTTCTACATAGATGTAGAGATAACATTGTCTTCCCCTTGCTGGTCTTATTATTGCCAGTACCATCTGCATAGTGGGTCAGAATATGCACACACAGGCGTCTGTGTGTACATGTCTGTTCTTGTGTGTCTGAGTCTGAGGTCTACTGTCAGCCATCCAGGGAGTGATGCAGCAGCTATGAACCAGGTTATATAACCAGTCTGAGCCAGCTGTGCCTCTGGCAGCCACCGTCTCCAACATATACTCATGCATCCAAGCACACACTATCATACACACCTGAAGAGCTTACAAGTTTGTGAGGAGAGGTAATGCCTTCCATTCAAGACAGAAAAAGTTGTTTAAACAACAAAAAAAAAAATAGCATTGCACCAGAATGCAACGTTTTCCACTGTTATTTTCTTGCATCTTCGACTCTGCAGTCATGCCTGTGGTTCTGTAAAGTGGCCTGTGCATCAAATGAGTGTTTGATGTCTTCGGGTGAGAGGAGCAAAGGCTGGCGTGATCTTTAGCGCCAAGAAAGTTGACAAACAAGCTGTGAATGGATGCAGGATTTAGGATGAGCAGCCGCCGACAGTGGATCACTGAAGTTGTTGCATAACAGAGAGACGGAGGACGGGCAGGTTGGGACAGCTTGGGAGGGATTTTTGCTTAATGCCATTTCTTGGTTACAATTCAGGAAAGTCTGAGCTTAGAGACTTATTAAAGGAAATGCAACGTGGATATTGGACTTGAGAAATAAAAATGGAAAGAGAAGAGGGACACACTGGAGTGACGTAAAGGGTGAAGAATCGGTGAACTGGAGCAGTACTTGGAAATGTAATGCTTGGAAATGTAGTGATGTCGGAGCATTACAGCTGAACCTACTCAGCTGGGAGGGCCTCAGAATAGAACAGATTTTTAAAGTGATTCTGTATGCAGTCAGAGGTCAGAATGATTAAAAATTGCACATGATCCAATAAATCCAGGCTGGCCTTGAAAGAAATCTGCAATGAGACACAAATTGTTCCTATTAAGTTACAATTAAAATCTTAATAAAATGTTTGAGATGCCAGAGTAAACTGCACATTTATATTTGTATGTATTGTCACCTATTTGTCCACTAAAACAGAGCCAGATTTTACCATTGAGCCTCTTTGTCCTTGCAGACTGGTTTACCTCCTCGGTTAGAGTCAGGCAACAGATAAAGTCTAGACGCCTGTGAAAAGTTCACTGCAGGTCGCTGACTGAAAATGAAACCTGACCTCTCCAGCTTGTCTGTCTGCTCTGTTAACTCTGCCTTTCTGCCTCTGCTCATTGTTCACTGATAAAAGGAAAATACATGTGAAACTCTGAGCATGCATGAAGCTGAATGAGTGAATTATAATTGTGAAACTGCAAAAAAAAAAGTCTTCATGCCTCTTGATATTTTCCATATTTCATCACATCTACAAACTTTGATGTAGATTTTATTGGGGATTTACATCATAAAGCAACACAAAGAAGTTCAGAACATTCAAGTTAAAGGAAAATGCTGCATGATTTAAACATTTTTTTACACATCAAAATGTAAAAAGTGCATGCTCCATATATATGTGATATTTTTTACTTATTCATTGTTGAAAAATAACTTAATATAAGTCCAATTGGATGTAGAGCTGTATTAAATTTCAATTTTCTAGTTCTGACACAAGTTCCATTCCCAATTTGATTTAGGTTTGGGCTTTGTCTTGACTGGTTATAATCCTGAGTATCTTTTTTTATCTAAGCCATTGCAGCTTTGTCAGAAGCTGCAATGGCTTGGAAATGCCATTGCATCTCTCTTCATGAGAAGAGAGATGCAATGGCATCTCTTCTTGAGAACGTCTCTCTTCTTGAGAAGAGAGACGTTCATCCCTGGTCCAGGCTTTTCGCAGGTTCCAACAGGTTATTTCCCAGCATTGCCCTTTTCTAAGCTCCATCAAGCTTCTCATCAACTCTGACCAGTTTCCCTGTCCCTGCTGAAGAAAAGTTACCTTACATGTGTCACCAAGGTGATGGTGTCCTGCTGGGGATGGTGATGTTCAGGAGTAATTTTCTGTCACATAAAAAATAAGTGCTACTTCACAATACAAGTCACTGTATCTGTTCAAACACAGTGCACCGCAAGTTTGGTATTATATGCTGACTTAATACACGGAGCTAGTTTTTGGCCTAATGTGCAGTCCTAGATGTGGTTGCTTGATAGGATCTCTTCATTCCCCTGCAGATAGTGTCTGTATCACATCACCACGTCCTCACCGCTACCCCTTCTGGTTACATCACTGCATGGATGGCCCTAAGCTCATCAGCACACTTGCGCTCTCATATGCAATTTCCGAGCTCAAAAGGGTGGCAGTAAAGGACTACAGACTTATTCTCATGTCACATCTTTCTTTTTTTTTTCCAGTTGTGACTGTACATGAGAGAATTGTGATTTACAAAGGAGAGAGACTCATCAGCAGTAAAAGCTGTGATTTGTTCACTTGTGCAAGCTTGGTTATTGCTGGTCTTGCCCTTTGGATCCCCGTTGGCATGACTTAGTGACTCTGGCGCTGCGCCCTCTCTCTGGTGGGGAGATTAATAATTCCTTTCCTGTCTTTTATTTTCAGCAATTTTCTCGGCTTATCTACTGTCACACAGAAAGCACAAGGATCTAACCATGATAAACATCCCTTCTCCTGCTGCGTCCCAGAGCCAGCAATATTTTCATCCAGTCTCAAGTGTCCTTTGAATCATGGGAACCACACAGAAGCACTTGTTGCTTTCATAACTGGTTGTTCATCTCATCTTTTCCCGTAACACAGAGAGAAATGCTGCTTTGGCAGCTGCCTTCAACATTTGGCAGGCTGCTGTTAGATAACTGCAAGGTTGCGTTTCTCTTTTATTACCTCTTCTGTCTCCCTGTACTACGTGTCTCCAAATGTGTCAGAGCCACACAGGTGCCAAAGGAAAAGGGATATTTATAACCCCCTAAGTCATATTAAGGCAACACGCCTGAAAGCACACCTTTTATTAACTCATTCCCTCCTTTCCAGATCGTTATGTATGACATCTTCATATCCTAGTGGAGACGATTTGACACCCCTTAGAAGGAAGAGCAACATCGACTTTTGCAGATAGAATGGAAATACCTTTCATGTTAGAATAGCAGGTCATGCCTGAATAGCAGGGCACATGGTTCACATATCTGATGAGTAGTGGCCATATTTAGCTACTGGTGCCTGTCTCTGCTGGGCTGGACTGAGGGGATTGTGCTGGCATCTGCATCAACGTAATAACAAGCAAAGGCCTTTATGAATGTTTCAGTTGCTCTATTTATGGGGTCCCGCTGTGGCTCTTGGAACGACTTGCAATGACGGATGGGCTGGCTAGATGACTGCAGACTTTGAATGTGTTTGTGGGGTGACGTTTTTCTTTTTCTGCTTTTTTTTTTTTTTTTTTTTTTTGGCAGTCAATGAGTGTATTCCTTCAGGAAGTCTTTAAATGGGCGGTATTAGTGAGTGTTTGGACATGTTAGAAATGTTTGTAAGCTGTTTAATGTTAAGGGGATTTTGATAAGCTCTTCACAGCGTTTGTTCAGTTTAAAAGAGGAAGTCGGTCAAGATGTACATAACTGTTTCCTCCTTGGGCTGACATTAAGTTGACAGGCGGTCACTCATGTATTCACAATTGATTTTTTTTCTTTTTACCCTTCAATACGTGAGTAACTGGGCCAATTGTTTTGAGAAAAGAAAGAAGTGTTCTAATACTTTTCCCCTCATTTTGTTTAAGATTTATTATTTTTCTTTTGCTTGACTTAGTCTTTAAAACACAATGAAGATTTGATGTTTGAAATATTTTTTCTTCATTCAAATTATTTTTTAACTATGTTTACTGCCTTTTGAAACTTGTAAAAGAAAATAACTAGTATTTTTAGTGTATGTGTGTGCTTTAATGTTGACACTTTGTAAATGACAGCTAAAATAAAAGCTTAAAATATTTTTGCTTTGTGAAACGAATCTCTGTAAAATGACCGTTTAACTTTCTGAGATGACTGGCAAGAAATATTGCACTTTTACATGATATTGTGTTTTTTTGTTTAGATATGCATACTAAACATACTGTGGATCAGTTTCTGAATTCTCATTTAGCAACTTTCAGAGCAACTATTAGTTTTCAAAGAAGTTGCCATGCTGTTATTGTTGAGGACCTTGACCACTTAAAATACAAAACGGACATCTGTAGTCTTGTTTTGTTCAGCAAAGTTAGATATTCTAACATTGTGCTTGGACTAAAGTGAAAATCCTCCTAGCATATCAAAAGAGTGTCAAATTGGGTGCAGATGACACAAGGGAAGCTGAGGACAGTGACCTCCAGGGAAGTCTCTCTTTGTTCATCCATCTCTCCCTCTTTGTGTTGGTACATAAATAGTTCTGCGGTCTCTATTACTCAGTCTGTAAGTGTTGCGTTCTGTTGTGGGGTTTGGCAGAGGCCTCTGTACACCGGACAATGGAGCACTGGGGGCTTCAACTATGCATTCCCTTGGCTGGAACTGGAGTGAGAGTTACTGCTCCCAGTGCCCCTTGCTGTCACTTAAAAAATGCATTGTCACTCCAGTTGTGATACTTTCTCAAACTTGAAATTCATTTCCATGCATATTAAATTAACCCATTTTCTCGTTTTTTGCTCTCCTATTCTCATGTTCCGTAGGGCCCTCTCCATGGATATAGACACAGACTATGAGCGGCCCAATGTGGAAACCATTAAATGTGTGGTGGTTGGGGACAATGCAGTAGGCAAGACCAGGCTAATCTGTGCCCGGGCCTGCAATGCCACACTCACACAGTATCAGCTGCTTGCCACCCACGTGCCAACCGTCTGGGCCATCGACCAGTACCGAGTATGCCAGGAGGTGGGCACACACACACACACACACACACACACACACACACACACACACACACACACACACACACACACACACACACACACACACACACACACACACACACACACACACACACACACACACACACACACACACACACACACACACACACACACACACACACACACACACACTTTGTAGGAAAGAAGCCACAAATAGACAAACCCTTCTAGCATTTTCCTGCAACTAATTCTTTTTCTTTTCTTTTTTTTTGCTTCATAAAACGTTTAACTTTAAATGCCATTGTACGTCATGTAGTTTGATCCCGTGGCTGTTCTTTTTAAAGCCAGATTACTAATTATTCCTTTAATCAAAAGAAAACACAAATCTTGCAAATAAATGTAAGACGTTTGATCTGATTATGATGACATATCTACATTGTAGGTGCTGGAGAGGTCTCGGGATGTGGTGGATGAGGTCAGTGTGTCCCTGAGGCTTTGGGACACATTTGGGGATCATCACAAAGACAGGCGATTTGCCTACGGCAGGTGAGGGAGCACACGAACACCAAGCCTTAAGCTGTTCACCAGTCTGAACGTACTGACCTAATAACACATCTGATGCTGGCCAACAAGGTTAATTACCTGGAAATATTTGAATGTAGCCAAGCGATATGTTTTTTTTTTTTACATATTGTTTTATATATTTATACATTCACTGCCGAATTAAATTAATAAAACGTATTTCACTGGATCTGGAAGACAGGAACTTATGATTAGAATTTAACAAACTTTTCATAATCCAAAAAAAAATATACAAGCATGCAAGTCAATCTCAAAATAGAACATCACCAAATGTTTTTTTTTTATTTTAGTAGAGAAATTAACATTATATTTTCTCACTGCACTAAGAATGATATGCATCAAGGATGTACACATTTTTATTTATTTGATAGATTATGACAATTTGTATAGACAAAAAATGTAATATAGCAGAGGTTGAGTCAGAAAAGGATATTTTCACACAATTGTGGAAACCTTATATTTGAGTTCTTGAAATTTAATACATTTTCAGTAATATTCTAATTTATTGAAAAAAACTGCTTACATATTTGTTGTGTAATCCGACAGCTTTTTTCTCTTTTGCACTGGACGTCCCTTTCAAGCTGTTGCATCCTTCCTCCACAGGAGATGATTGGGTGATCCCTGGATCGTCTTGTCCGTTGTTCCCTTGTCAAATCTGCTTTATTGGCATGAAATGCAGAAAGATTTATTGCTAAAATACAATCCGGAAATGCCACATATCACAGCAAAGGCACCATGTTTTAACCACAAAACCTCCAAACATTAAAAAAAGATTGTTGTTCTTGCATACAGTTTCGTACAATAGATTATTTCACCAATCAACACAAAGTCCCCAAAATGTTCCCATAAAATGAGGCAGGATGTGTCAAGGTTGTTTGAAAGGACTTTGCATAAGGTGTCACCTTGTTTCCCTTTATATAAGGGGTTTGTACGTGACACACTTCATTCATGCTTTTGTCAGCTGCATGGAGGTTAGTTTCAGGTTCAAATTTCTACCCCTTCTGGGTGTGCATTCGCCTGGGGATCTGCTACTCTTTGTGTGTGTATGTTTATTTGCGTGCGCTTGTGTGTGTGCACATCTATCCACCCTGTGAGCCTGGAGTCAGCTGATTAGAAACACGGTGCCAGCTCAGCTGGTTTTACCCTGCATTAAAACAACATCAAGCATTCTTCCTTAACCATCGTCCTTTTTTGTTCCCAACTCTGTTGGTCTTCCTGTTTTGTCTGAGCCAGCTCCTGGCAACTCCCTTTTCTGTGTGCTTACCACCCGTACTCCTTCATTAATAAATCTAATCTCTCCATACAGTTGGCATGTAGCTGCTCTTTGACCCTCCTAACACCTGGCTAGGTTTTTGTTGACATGAAACTTAGAACATCACACTGTCACATGTCTTGTTAGAAGGAGTTCAGAAGGAGTTCAGGAAAACAAGTAGCTGCTGGAAAATAGATTAAACCCAATGTAACTTGAGTCAGCCTCCCCCCAGCCCCTTTTTTTGCAAGTCATCATTGCAACTAATTGACTTACAATAAGGAGATCAAGATAGATAATTTTTAAACAAACCAGTTATAAATTCCCACATTTAACCTTTTTCAAAACACACCTGATTTAGGTTTTTCATCTACAGACAAAGTGAACAACAAATAAAGTTCAGTTCTAGTTGATTTTTGTGGCATTTTATGACTTCCACAAATCACCTAAAGCTACAGCTGGCAGAGAGGCTACAAAGAATTAAAAAGATCTTATTGTATGAAGTTATTTGACAATAAAAAGATGCAAAAACAAAACAATTATAGTACTGAACATGTGTCATGATAAACTCAAGGCAATCATCAACTCTTGAAAAAATATGGAACATGAGTGACATTACTGAAACCGGATCTTTCTCCATAATTGATAGAAAAACAAGACCTAATCTGGTCAGACAGAAAACAAAGAGCCTTGTCGCAACACCACAATCTAAAATCTGTATTTTATGAGACCTTATGGAAGAATGTGTTATGGTCCGATGGAGCCACACTAGAACCTTAGGCCACACTTAAATGTGGTGGTTGCAGGATTACACTCCAGGGTTAGTTTTCATCCCATTGAGTTCATATGAAGCTGCATCAAATCATGAACAGTTTTAAATAAAAGTCTGTTTAGACCAAAAACCCTCAGCTCTCTACAAAATGACAAATTGTAGTTTTTAGCATAATTTTCAGTCTAATACATCTTAATCAAGACAAGAATAACTTGAGCATCGTTTCACCAGCGTTCAGGGAACTGCGGATGAAGGAATTCCTCAGATAGATTTGGAAAATGTCTTCAAGATGGAGCAGGCAAATATTGTTAAGACAGACAAAGTAGACAGTACGCTGAGACATAAATCTATATATGTACAATTGTGTGAGCTGCATCATGTGCACCTGGCTCAGATACAGTGATAATCCTTTGAAAAAGTGTTAATGGGAGCTTGGTTGACTGTGTGTGCGCGCATTGTGACTTAATTACCTGCTGTGTAAAAGCATGTCCTTGGGAGCTTTTCAGAGATTATCTGAAAAATAAAGAAGACTGTTGTATCAGAACAGCAAAAAATATCTTCTACATGTGCACTTACCAGTGGGACATAAGTTTCCTTTCATCTATGTTGTCAATCAAATTACTCTGTAAACTCTCTTCATTAATTTTCCAAAATTGTTAAATGACAATAAAACTACATTTCTTCAACAACGCATCCGTTGTTGTCTAATTAAACACTCCATAACTCCTGGCGTGTAGGTATTTTGCCCAAGGGAATGAGGCATATTTTACTGTTTTATAATGTTGCTCCCAAGTTCAGTTGATGATTTACCTCGCATCCTCTGATAAGTACTGGATTCCTGACAATTGTCCAAAACTGAAATATAGTCAAATAATTAAATTGTCTCCAAGCCACAAATAATGATTAATGTAGCACAAGTTACATAAGTCTGAGTATTCTTTTGCTGCTGAGGCTAAAAGTCTTGTCCTATGCATTGTTGCAGAGGGTGAGGAGTTACAAATTATTATTATTATTATTTTTGCCTTCTCATCAAGAGTTAATGATCCATCCTCGACATTACCTGGAACTAGGCAGACATGCACCGTCTTGTGAGGATTAGAGATGTCCTGCTAAATGCGGCGATCTGCTTGCTCAAACAAATCTGTTGGATCTATTTGGAAGTTTAAGTACAGAACTATTTTTAGACTTCTTTTTCTTGTTGCTTTCAAGGCCTTTTGGAGATTTACCCTACAGAAAGAAAGAGGCTCAAGCCACACAAATAGCTGCAAGGTCTAGACTCCTCTTGTGAACCTCCCCGCCTCACACCTCCTCGCTCTCGCATAAGCTTCCTGTTCCCTTGATGGCTTGCAGAAGCTGAACAAGCTTCCTCCTTATGCACTTTGCACAAGTTTTAATGCAAGCTGACATCATGTTGTATGAGTCAGCAGTAGCTCTTTTTTTATTTCTTCCTTTTCTGTTCCCATATATCCATCAACGCCCAAATGCTGTTTTGACTGAGTCCCTGCTCATGACAGAGCACCTCAATCCACCTTTGTTTCTGATGTCTGTTATTTTGTTCGTGCATAAACTGAAGTGTTTTTTTTTTGTCTCATCCGTCCCTGTAGGTCTGATGTAGTGGTACTCTGCTTCTCTCTGGCTAATCCCAACTCCCTGCGCCATGTTCGCACCATGTGGTTTCCGGAGATCAAGCACTTTTGTCCCCGAACACCCATCATCCTGGTCGGCTGCCAGCTGGATCTGCGTTACGCTGACCTGGATGCAGTTAACCGTGCGCGACGGCCATTAGCAAAGTGAGATTCATTCCTCATTAAGCATTAACATTCTGTCTGAGACACAACCTGCAATAATGTTGCTTTACTACCTTGCTTGCAAATTGCAAGATATGTCTTATGGTGCAAAAAAACTGGCTTGTGGGATTTAAGTGGGACCTTTTTTCAGTAACAAACCTTTTGAAAATGGTACTTCTCCTTAAGATTGAGATAATGTACAATCACTCTCAAAAGTGTACATGTCACCGCTACATTGACCAATAGGTCTGGTCCTAAATCTGAGACAGTTTTGACTCCAAAGCTGACAAAGAAAATATTTAAGCATCAAACTGGATTTATGCTTACATTCAAGTACGGACTTGCAATGGACTTGACAAACCAAATCTCTGGGGTCTTTGAAGATGTATGTAGATAGCAGACAAACATTGATAAGTCAAAATGTTGTAAATACGGCTGAATATTGAAATTAAATATAAAGGGTCCAATCAAGTACTAGTTTATGCTCACCTAAACAAACAGGTTATTCCAAGTTTTGAATTTATCTGACTTTTTTGTAACAGATGTGTTTGTTTTTCAGGTATATTTTACAAAATAAATGTCACATTATACGTTGAAATTGTATTAAATGATTTATCAATTAGTAGAATTGATAAATTGCATCAATCAGAATGTGAAGACTTTTGAGTCCCAATGTAAAGCAAACACAACAGACAGGAAGCCAAATCATATGCCAAGAATTGCCCTTGGAGGACCAATAGAGTTTAGTTGGCATGATAAGAGAAGTATATCAACAGTCCAAAAGTTGTTGGAAACCCAGCAACCCATAAAAACTGCTATCACATCACTGTATTGACGTCTTTGCATGAATGGTTGTGGTTGTTAATATATAATCTTGCTCTACCTGTTGATTGAACGTTTTCATTAATGACTCACAGGCCCATCAAACCAACAGACATCCTCCCTCCAGAGAGAGGCCATGAGGTGGCAAAAGAACTTGGGATTCCTTACTACGAGACAAGCATTGTCGCCCAGTTCGGAGTCAAAGATGTGTTTGACAACGCCATTCGTGCAGCCCTCATTTCCCGTCGACACCTGCAGTTCTGGAAGTCCCACCTGAAAAAGGTCCAGAGACCCCTTCTCCAGGCACCCTTCCTACCTCCTCGACCACCACGCCCCATAGTGGGCATCCCCGACCCACCGGCCACAGACGGTGAAGGCCCTGACTCCCTTTTCTGTCATCCGCTTTGCGCAGATGTTCTTTTCCTTTTGCAGGGTGGCTCCACTCATGTCTTTGCGCACAAAGTTTACCTGGCTACATCTTGCTCCAAGTTCTACGACCTTTTCACCCTTGATCTTGGTGGGTCGAGTTTTGGGGCAATGGGAGAGGAACAGGATGGCAAGGAAAACACAGAGAGTGGGGAGGAAGATGAGCAGAGCAGGAGAGGAGCCAAAGAGCAAGCTGGGCGCACCAAGAGCCTGGACATTGATAAAGATGGAATAGATGGAGGAGTGCGGGGCCTGAACCGACCGCAGCTGCTCCAGCAGGGGTCTCTGAGGACTTCCCAGAGTGATAATGCACTCCCCTCTCGAGCACAGTGCTCAATGGGAGCAATGGGGACAGGTCGAGCCCTTTCTGGATGGGGCAGAGGGTTTCTCAGTGTGTGTCTGGAGCATGTTGATGATCCCATGACTGGACGACCTCGTCTGATGACTGTGGTTGCCATGGATGCACTTATTCAGGAGGAACCATTTAAGGTTATTCTAAATTGTTTACGTTGCTAGTGGTTCATAAAGGTTAATGCATGATTTAGCTAAAGGAACACATTTTTCACATAGGGTTAGTTTAATAACTTTTCCCCCTTTGTATTTATTTGGCTTTTCTCTGTCTGATATAAACAAATTTTAGAACAAAACTAGCAAAAACAGAAGAAATTTATGGGTTTTTTTTAAACAAGACTCTTTCTGAATGCTCTGCAGTGTGCATTAATAAGTTTTCAGTGTGTGTGACCTCTGGGTTTGCTGCATTTCCAGGCAGTGCTTCAGTACCTCTACACAGGCAGCCTGGACGAGAGTCGAGGCGATCTGATGCAGGTGGCCACCATTGCAGAGCTGCTTGAGGTGTTCGACCTCCGGATGATGGTGGCCAACGTTTTGAACAGAGAGAGTTTCATGAACCAGGAGATCACAAAGGCCTTCCACGTCCGCAGAGCCAATCGAATCAAAGAGTGCCTCAATAAAGGGACTTTTGCTGGTAAACCACGTCAGCCACTCAATGCTGCAATTTATTGTGTAGCATTTGTCATTCTAGATGTGATGTCTCCCATGTTGCATCTGTCTCTTTGACTGATTCCTTCATAGTCATCATTTGACTTAATGACAGTTTTGTCTGCTTATTTTGTGTTCACTCTACCCCATACACTGTCTTATTTGTTTTGTGTTGTGTCTCCTTTTAGTGTTGTCTTTGCCTTTTCTAAACAAAACTTGACTTTCACCTCTCTATGTTGTCATTGTTCTATTTCTGATCATAGTGGTCATTGTTCCCATAAAACTCACATGAGTTTTGATTTAATAAATGAATAGGAATGTATCTAACAATGTAACAGATTTTTTGGGACAACACAGTCCTCTTTACCAGACTTCTTTAGTGTTCTGCATAGCCCACCATCCTGCATTTGCTTTCCTTCCCATACAATGAGTGGAGAGCTGTTGCGTCTCCCTGCCAATTTATCTTTCTGTCTGTCTACCTGTGTCCATGTCTCTCTGTGTGTCTGTCTGGTCCTCTTGCTGCCTGTGTCTGGACGTCCGCCTCGTCTGTCTTTTCCTTTCTGTAGTTTGGGCTTCTGTGGCATTCCACGAGATGAACGCTCTTTTCCCACCCCGGTTTCAGATGTTGTGTTCCGGCTGGATGACGGCTGCCTTCCGGCCCACAAGCCCCTGCTCATATCCAGCTGTGACTGGATGGCCGCCATGTTTCGTGGCTCCTTCATGGAAAGCTACATCGAGGAGGTGAGATTGCCCACGGAACACAAACCTTGGAGCTATGGGTACTTTCAGTTTTGGAATGTAATGTAATTAGACGTTTCAATCCTAAATCCTGAAAATTTGAGAAAATAGGAAAGGAAGAACTGCCTTCACAAAGAAAAGGTGCTGTTGACATTATGTTACCCTGAACAACAAATTAAAATTTGAAATCAATTAAATTTAGATGACTAAAATTAGTGTTTTCAAGTATGAGTGTGTGCATGCATGGCTGTATGCCTTGCATTGGACTGGTGACACATCAAAGGTGTACCCTACCTCTCTCCCAATGACCTCAGAAGACAGGCACTAATCCCTGTGCAAGTCTGCAAGGATAAGTAAATATGAGTAATGGATGAACGGATGGATAAAATATGGTTATATAGCTGCAGTCAATAACAAGGTAAATCAAAAATATAACTCCCTGTGAGGGCCTTTTAAAACCTATTCTGGTATTTTGGTATTACCAAGTTATTGTTACAGATTGATAAATAAGAGCCTCAGAAAACCTCTTTCACTCATGGAAAAGGTCGCTGCAGTTTATTTGCCTGACAAAACATCTGAAGACTTTCATCAGGCAAAGACTAACAAAAGCGGTCAATTGTGTGTAAATGCATTTACTCATAAGTTCTTATCTCTGGACATTACGTGTTTAAGTAATCAAGAGATGTGGTTATATCCAGACCTTTAACACCACCAAGGAGTGAAACAAAGATTAGTAGGTCATTCTGATAGAGAACCATATGTGTGGTTTAGGTAATCAAAAATATTAACCTAATCCCCATAACTCCTAAACTTCAGCACATGTCCTTAAATTAAACTGTGGCACATGTCTGTGTGAAAATCAAAACAACTTGATTCACACGTTTAAAAGCATGTAGACAGCAGTAGTTCTGACTTCCTGTTTCTATTCTCAGAAACCATGTTCTTTACCTCAATAAAAACCACAGACAAATTGGTTCTGTGGAGGTCCAAGATAATGTTTTTTTAAGTTTACTGTTTTCTGTGTGACGTGTCCATATTGTTGAGTTGTCATAGATTTGCCGTATTTTGAAACTTTGTGAAATTTACGCAAAAGCTACTGAACAATGACAGTTTGAGAAGGCTTTTTCTCTTAATATGTCTTCATTAAAGAAGAGTACCTTCACTGAAACCAACATCTCTCAAGATTTGTTAGCTTATGTGTGCTCACCTCTCAGGCTCAGCTGCTGGTAAGGCATGTGTGCCTGACCTGACCTAGCCTCAAAGGAAGTTGAGGGCTGTCTTTAGGTTGAAGTTTGTCTTCCAACTGTGTTACACAACAAGATCTCACAGTCTCTTTTCAAAGGCTGCCAGCTCAGTTTTTAAGGATTCATGTGTTCAGAATAACTATAAATAAATGTCAAACACTTTTGAATAATTTTGTTAGTTTAAAATTATGATTATCAACTATCTGCTTAATAGTATGTAAATTATATATGTGTATTTTTACTTATTTTCTGGAATCATGGGCTTTACTGTTGAGCAAATTATGATTAATGTTAAAATTATTGTTAATAATAATATTAGTAGTATTAGTGGGGCCCTGTCAGTCTTGTCTTGAGTCTGATAGAGTATTTGCAGAGGAAGTTAATCTTATTGTGATTGGAAGGAGGCCTTGAAACGTCACAGAAACGAAGATCATCACCAAACATAAATATGCAAAATATCAATGGAAACATGCAAACAGCTGGCCAGGAATTAAAAGAATTGCCAGACTGCCATAAATAATTTTTGTTACAAGGAACTCAGTTTCTTTTAAATGTAAACTTATCAGGAGCATAAATAATTAATTACTTTAGTAGTCATGTTACAGTTTATTTGACGTCAGTCATGTCGTGACCCTGAAAACACAATCCTTGAAATAAGAACGAGGCTGTCCACAAAACTTTATACATCAGTATCAGCCAAAAGTTAGCAATTAGGATGCACTCTATTTCTATGTCAGCTTGAGTCTTCTCTGTTGAAGCTTTAAACCACACAAATCATATTTTTGAAATAGAAGCAGAAGTTTACGACATGGTTACATGGAGTGGTTTCTCAACCCAGACACTCAAACTTACTGTTTTCAGTGCTGAACAAAAGGGGGTTAGTGTGTTGTGAATTTGCTATGTCATATAGGTCACTAGATATGGTCAAAGCTTCATGAACTGCACTCTTCATAATCATCCTCAAAACCCTAAATTAAAACAGTCTTCTTTTAAATGACAAATCAAGCTGTTCGTCTTTTTGCTTAAACTACGATCTAGTTAGCATGCTTTTCATTGTAAAGTGCATGGCTTTCATATTTGGTCTACACATTTAAACTTATAAACACAGATAGATGTATGTCACAGATTTTGCAAGTTCATTTAGGTCAGTCGCTGAAGCTATGAAAACACTGCAGTCTGTACAGTCAAAACAAGCCAGTAACATCTGCTTTGACTCATCAGACTACTTCCTTACTGTCCTAACAACAAAAAAAGAGGTTCTAAGTTTTTGCACATAGATTACAATGAGATGAAGTACATAGTGATCAGAGAACCCTAAAGCTGTGTGAGGAACTGCACAATTTCCTGCTCTGCAGACTTTGTAGCAGCGTTTCAGTGTGTTTGTCTCTCTTAAGTAGTTCTTTTAGGAGGTTTGTGCTATTAAAATCCCCAAGAACAATAAGGAGAGTCTGGAGCTTGATGTTTGTATCCCCTGTCTGTGTTTCCAGTAAAGCCTCCATGTTTCATCGACCCAGAATACTCTCTGGGTCGATGAAAAACTGCTCAGAGATCTGCCTGATGCTTACGAATTGCTCTCTGGTGAAAGAAACTGTATCTTAGCAGCAAATGTAGAAAAAATGCACAATGCGATCGAGTACAGTACCAAGGCAGCCATCTGCAGAGTCATCATGTTGGTTTTTATCACATTTGTTTCTTAGTTCTTTCACATCTTTTGACCTGAATGTTTAGGTGTTTTGTTACTACATCTAATACTTCTGCACTTTAGTCTTACGATGAATATTTTTTAATTTAGCATGTAGTAAACTAATAATGCTGGAATTCTGAGAACAAAATACCATTCGCATAGATTACCGCTATACATATACATATTTGTATATGTCACTATGTCTGAGTCCATTCATTAATGCAACTGATTGCTTAGCTACAGCTTTAAACTATAGAGACTACCTTTCTCTGGGACGAGAGACCACACCATGTTGGCATTTTTTTAATTGTTATGAGAGTGGAGATTGTAGAGTGACAGAGTGGGTAGACTCAAAGACCTCCTGGGGGGGTCATTCTATCACAATGGTTTTCCTTTACCTTCCTTTTGTTTTCTAGGGCTATTGCTTCATCAGCTGCTGATGAATTGGTTCTATGAAATGTAATGAAACTGTGACAATAGATCCTTTTCAGAGGAGTGCATACTATATAATGAACAAACATCCACCACGAAGACTGAGTACCATTGGGATCTGTTTTTTTTCTTTTTTCAGCACTTCATATTTTCTATTTATTGCGTTGTATTTGCATTGCACGCAATTGCAATAATGTACCGAATTTTACAGTTTACCCCCTTCTTCTCGTGCTGCTATTACATTGTAGGTATCGATTCCTAACACCAGTACGGCATGTATGCGTGGAGTGCTTGAATTCCTGTACTGTGGTCTCCTGACACCGTGCCCTGGATTGGAGCCCGTGGAACTAATAGTTCTGGCCAACCGTCTGTGTTTGCCACGACTCGTTGCCCTCACTGGTGAGTATTTCTGTGTGGGGCGCTATAAACACAGCAGAGTCTAAACCCCACTCTCTTCTTTGTCCCATACCAACTGAATGCAACATTGTTTTATTGTTAAGATCCACATTTTGAGAAGTTAATTTTATAAATTTTAAGAATAATGAAAACCTTTACCTCTAATGTAGTTTAACGCAAAGGATTAGAGAATTACTTGTCAGTGGTGCATGCAACTAGAAAATACTGAAATTTCTTTGCCTCTTCAGAGCAGTATGCTGTGGATGAGCTTCTGCAACTGGCAGTGAAAGGAGTGGACATTGATGGACAGGTGCTAGCTTACCTCGAAGTTTCACAGGTGTGTTTTGACTTAAAAGTGCATTTATGTAGACATTAGTTTGCAGTCATGTATGGTTAATCAGTTTGTATTCATTTCACACAGATATACATTAGTTTTTTTTATTTCTTTTGAGCAGTAATACTTTCTCTTTTTTTGTTGTCACAGTTCCACAATGCCAAACAGCTTTCTACTTGGTGTCTTCATCACATCTGCACCAATTATAATAGCATCTGCCGCAAGTTTCCCAAAGACATGAAGGCTATGTCTCCGGGTACGTTGCAGTCAACTTGCTCTCCTGTCCCTGGTTGCCTTCCTGTCTAAAATCCATTTCATTACTTTTCTGTGTCTGCGATTTTAGTTTCAACCAAAATATAGAATGCAATTTCTCTAAATTTGGGAATTTCATTAGTCTGTTACCTTATATCAGTTACAAAGGATATTTGCTCAAACAGCATTTTTTGAGGACAAATTTGCATTCTTTCTTGCAGAAAACCAGAGGCACTTTGAGAAGCAGCGTTGGCCTCCTGTATGGTTTTTGAAAGAGGAGGACCGCTACCTGCGTTCTCAAAAGGAGCGCGAACGCGAGGAAGAGATCCTGCGCAAGCAGCACACCAAACGGGGCTGGTGTTTCTGGAGACACCCGTCTTCCTCTCCACACGTCTCCTAAGGGGTTTTCCACATCTCGCTCTTGGATCCTCCCCTCAGCGAATGCTAACCCGTGGATAAGCAAATCCCGAGGAGAATGGTTGGGATCCCTCTAAATGTGGAGAAATAACTCTCAGTGCTAGCATTCCTGAATGTCTGCATGCTCGGGAGGAGTGTATGTGTCTCTTGGTGGGAGTGGGTTTCCACACAATTGTGTTTTTGTGTTGGGACAGATTGGGACTCAACAGAAAGGGTATTTGCATGAATGTGCGAGTGTATGTATGGAATTTAGTGATGCTTCCAAGTTGAGATGCAGTGATCTCTAAAAGGACAACAGCGGTGCAGAGTAATCCTTCCTCCTGTACGTAAATGCTTTTTCTCCCTCTACCAGCACCCAATTGCCTTGGAGTGTTGGAACTGGAAGCAATGGCTCTCTTTTCTCTCTGTTTTCTCAGTCTTTAACCTTCACTTTGACCTTAATAACTTTTACACCATTGACACCGCAGCTCCCTTTGGCTGGTGGGGGAGTCTACGTCTGCCTTCACCTCTTATACAGACTGTTTGCTGGCACATGCAGATGCATCTCCACATTTCACCCTTGTGAAACCAGCACTAGATGCAGGAACTAACACTGACAATTAGCTCATTGTTATTACTTATCTTTTAATCACTTAATGTGCATTTTGGGGTCATTTGGGATGATATTATATTAGTAGGGTGAAAGAGCAAAGACCTCGGAGATAGTCAGAAATCACCACTGCAACCACAGATACAATTGTTCTATTGTATTCTCAACTACATAGATAATTGAGAAAATAGACGTAAATTATCTACCAGTTAGTCCTCATATCTCTTTTGTCATGTAACTGTGCACACCGTCTTTCAAAATGTTTATGGAGACTGACATGGAGCCACTCTTTAGCACTGATGAACTTTTTTTTTTTTTTTTTAAAGGGCTAGCCTTACTTAATACCTCTGTCACGAAGGGGAAATTTAATACAGCATTAAATGTTCTCGGCCACTAAGGTGCATTGAACCTTTGGAGCAAGCCTTTACACCTGTACACCACCAGGGGTCGCACTGCTCAGGGTCCTATCACTTCCGTAGTAGGTGTTTTATTGTATTTATCAAATATATTAATTTCTCCTTGCAGTGTTATAAAAGTACATACACCAGTTCACTAGTAGATTCAAAATACTGGACACTTAAAAGGGTTTTCAGCTGATTCTGAATACCAAAGGTGTAGTTCTTCCTTCTGCCTTTATTTTTGTTTATTTACATTTTCTAACTGGGGAGGGGCTGTAGTAGAAACTAGAACAGGTTTTAGAAGCACAAGGCAGTGTTAGATGCTGTTTACAAGTAGAGCCGGCCCAAAGGGTAAGCAAACTAACCCGCTTAAAACTTCTTATTTTTGATTAGCTTTGAAATTGGCAGGTCAAAAAAAAAAAAAAAGAGTTGAAATCTACATTACCCAGGAAAAGCTTGATATGGGCAACTCTAGTTATGTTAACAGTCCTAATTTAACTTCAGTATTCTTTACTTATTTACATTTAGTATTGCAAATAAATCTGGATAATTAACGGTCATTATTCAGCTACTACTTGTGAGAACAAACTTTAAAGGGTTGTGCAGAAACACCCACCTTACCCAACGGGCTGGTTCTGGTTGTAAGAACTAAAGATGGTCCATTTAAAACATTGCCTTCCATTCTCTGCTAGAATTAAACATTGGTGCTGAAAACTGTCCACATGAGCACAGAGACACACATAGTTTAGTGGACTGATGGTTTATTTATTTGTGCAGAATTTACAGAAACTTTAGAATAGTTTGTAAATTTTTTAAACTTGATTTATTTTTTTTCTTTCTATTCGCAGAGTCTGTAAAAAGCTGATAAAAGATTTTAGAGGTTGAGGTTTGCTCTAAATCCTGGGATGTCTTTTGCTGCTTTTATATTCTAAATCAATGTGATCTATTCCTTCTTTCCACCTAACACAAAAATTGGGCATTTCTTTAGATTCATCGTTTTGTTGTTGTTTCACCAGTTTGAGCAAATAGGGTTTTCTCATTTAGGGTGCTAATTTTGTTGCGCTCTCATTTGAATGTGGAAAGAAAAAAAAAAGTTGCAACTGTGAGTTTTATTAGCACTTTCTCTATTTGTGGGTTTGCGCCCCACAGCTTTACTAAACTCTCTGAGATGGGTAGATTGTGTGAGGCATGTGGTACATTATGCTGTTGTTCCACAGGAGGTCTGCAAAGCAATTTTCAACTACCAGAATAGAAGTCGTATAGGTTCTCACTTGGGCCCGAGTGAGAATTGAGCTGATTTAGTGTGAGAACGAGAAAACCGAGTAAAAGTGAGCAAGCCTCAGTCAGCGTCAGTCGCTCTCCACATGCTGTGGGATGAGTCCATCATCATTTTGAAGTTACACAACTGCAGTGCTGGAGGAAATTTAAGTAGAGGAATTTTGTGTCCCACAGAATCGCTAAACAGATCTTGTGTCCTTGTGCCTTACGATTCAATCTGCAGACTGGTTCTGCAGTAACCGACTTGGAAGAAGTAGGATTCAATGAAAATGTAAAATGTTTTTTTTTGGTGTTTTTCTGCCACTCTCTTTTTGAAATTTGAGGGAGAGAATTTTTCAATCTTTGGGTTTGATATTAGTGCAGATAAATGATCTTTTTATTTCTTCGAACAGCGATTTGAGACAAGGTTGATCTAATTAACACTAGATGTACAGCGTCCTCCACAATTATTGGCACCCCTGGTAAGGATCTGTTCAAGATCCTTTTACAGACCTTCAGAAAAACTTAGAAAGTAGGATTTTTGAAAAAGAAAAAAGATTTTCAAATTTCTTACATATATAATTATTCACACTGTGGTATTTTCTGTCCTTATTATTTCAGTTTACTTATATTCACCATTTCGTAGTGAGAGATTATGTTACATCAATTAATAAAAAGGCTTTTTGATGCATAGGTACCAAAACTTGAGCAGGATGCTGTTCCATTACAGTTATGTTTCTTTATAAACCAAGTGATTAAAAGGTAGCCAGTGAACATGGATTCTTGACTCCTGCAGTACAACTTCTAAACCACTGACCGTGAGAAATCAAAGTTTTGTAAAGTGCGCCGGCGGGCCTGTGCACTGGGTGGCTGCAACATCTTGTGGAGTGCAATGAACTTGCATGATGTCCAGACTTTGTTGGTGTGTCTTTAAAATGCAATTTGTGTTCTATGTGTTTCTGTAGTTAGCATGAATTTCTCTCTTAAATAAGATAGTTCCTAAACCGTCTTATTTGACTGTAGCATGAAGTTTCCACTTAAGTTATTAACATTTTATTTAAAGGTTGCGCTCCATTAAGCTGAATAACAGGCTGCATTTAGTGTCTTGAAGGTCTTTTTGGCCCTGAACCCTATCGAGGTTCTTGTCTTTGCAAGTGACTTTATTCACATGTCTTTGACAACTCAATGTAGCACTAGAGCATTTAGCGTTTGCATTTTTTAGGGTATAATGTGAGGAGATCAAAAGACATGAGCTTGAAATCTAATTTAGAAGATCTGTTTGATGCCACAGATTTCCCTTGTATGCTGTTACTATCAATGTAATGAATAAGGTTAATCGTATGACTAAGTATAGACAAAGCATTTTATGTTTCTAAACAGCTTGCATGTATAGGGGAAGGAAATGTGCAAAGTAAAAGTTTCCCAGGTGACGGATATGTAGACGTTTGATTTTCTGGAACTTTAGTTAGTGGGGCTTTAATTAGTTACTAAATACCTTAATGAAGATGTGGGAGTTTTTATTAAATACAATAAACAAAAAGAAAAAGCATGTGATGCCAACAAGCCAAAGTTACATGTTCTCACATTTTGATATTGGATGTATTTTCATGATATTGTTTTTTTTTTTTTTATATATATTTTCCCTCCATGTCTCATCCTTGGAGCACTTCTTCCTACCTTTCTGGCTGGTTTCCCTGCTTCATTGTGAGGCCGAGTGACAGAGAGAACACCTCACAATGAGCCGCTTGCTTTGGCGTCTCCTCTCTTGTGCCTTTAGTGAAATCTCACTTTCCGTTTTGTACAGAATGACAGCAATGCACCGACAGCCAACTAAGCTCATGTGTATGTCTGCGAAGCCAAGAAATATACAACACATTAACGTAAAGGAGAGTAGCAATTTTTTTTTTTAAGATTAAGCGTCTTAGATGATAAATGACTTGGCTTCCTATTGAGTAATTTAATAATGCTTGTAATTTTAATTGATAACCTGAAGAGCTTAACAAGTTTAATGTGTATTGTCATCTATGCTAAAGCTACACCACAGGTGGCTTGAGTGCTGAAACGAGTTGGAAACTAGCAGTTTCTGCTGCACTCTTCCAGGTGCCTGCTCCTTCTCTTGTGTAGCTAACAATAATTTTTATATTCTCTCTATATACTCATCTCAATCAGCATTAAGATACTGTGTTCTGTTTTTCACTCTCTAAGTCAAATCCAACTATTGCTTCCACTGTTTATCTGCCATTTTATATTGCAGTCACACATAGTATCCTTTCAGTTGAAGAGGGCTTTTGTAACAATAGGCTGAATTAAAGGCATAAATATTGGCTGTGACAGCTATATGTATGCTTTAATGAAGACGGGGATTATCCAAAGTACAGCAAATGTAAATTTGATCAATGCAAGTAACTTCTCACCTTTTTTAAGTGCACAGCACACTGTATTAACGAAGTTAGAGTGTAAGTAGGAATGTATGAAGTCATTTATATTGACAGACTTGCTGTAATTAACTCCCGGTCAATACTGTAATTGTAAGTGGATTGTATCTATGGTATAGTATTGTTATGCACTTTTGTTTCCATAAACTCGTATGGGTGTTATTTACAGTCAGTGTTTATGTTACGTTATAAAAGTTAAAAAGAAAAGAGCACACCACACTCACATGTTAAGGGCTTTGACATGAAAAAGAAAAAAAAAAATCTGAATGTTTTTGCTGCTGTTGCAAAAAAGTTTTGAAACTAAAATTTTGTAATATTTTTAAACCACTGTGATTTGTACAAAATTTAAAAAAAAGAAATACAGAAAAAAACCTTTTTTCTGCCATTTCAGTATTTTGATGTTTGACTTGAATTTTATTAAATCTGTTAATCTTTTAAAAGGTTCTTGTGTCGTACTTGTGTGATTTTTGTTATCAGCGTCCATTTTAGTTTTAAAAACAGAAAGAAAGCTCATGTTGGTTGTTTAAACTTCTCCAGACCCAGGTCTTGATTCACTGCAAACTTTCATTTGCAGTGAGGTCAGAGCTCTCAGAAGCTTAACGATGGGCTATCCATTCAAAAACCTGTCTAAATGTGTATTTGAGGTTCTTAGGCTATTGGAAACATCGAATTTGTGCTGGTTTTAACCATCAGATCCAAATTATCACCACTTTAGTAGGACCACCACACAAAACATACAGCAAGAACTAGAATAAAATGGTTTGGCTCAAAACATAGTCAAATGTTGGAATAGTCTCAATCTAAATTTAACTAAGAATCTGTGGCAGTATCCAACAATCGGTGTAACTTCTTCTATCTCCAGCAAAGCACCTCCTGCTGTGAAGAGCACGTAGGAAGAGAAAAAGCTGAAGAAGTGTGAACCAAATTTTCAGCTAACTTTCTTTAATTCTAGTTAAGGTCTGTGTGTCGGTACGAGGGAACTAGAAACGTTTAGCTTTAATTGTTGTGGTTTCTGTGTCTTGCTCTGCTGAGGTGTAAATGGGCTTACAGTTGTCTGCGATTCCACTAAAGCACATGGCAGAATCTAGTGTTAATAAAAAGGCAAAATAAAAGGCAAACAAAATACTTTTCCAAACCACAATTCAGTTTTTTCTTATGTTCATCAATACCCTGAAGCGTTCTGCTTTACATGCAGAAACACCGAGGTTGATGCAGCTTTGCCACCTTGTGGTGAAAAGGAGCTGTGCACCTGCTGTGTGCCGCACCGATAGAAACTAACAGTACTCAAACTACTCATTTAAAACGACCTCTTGTCCTGTTACATATTATCAAAGGAAACGAGAGACACGTGCATCCAAAAAATCAACACACTGGGAGTTGTAGGTTTTAATTACACAGAGAAAAGGATCACAAAGACCCACAGCAACATGGGGGATGAAGTTGCAATGACGACATTTAGTGATGTGGCTGATAATTGGTACTTTCAAAGGGTCACTTGGGAAGGTAGCAGCACAGAGCAGAAGAACATTTGAGTGTCTATGCTATTTTTACACGTGTCTGTTTCAGTCATACTTACCTCTGGTTCTCCAGGGAAAATGTACTGGTCCCAAGTTAACAAGCTGACTTTTACTAGACGGTGACATGCATCAGTTTTCCTTTGATTCCCCTGTTAAATAAGCAATCAAATATCCATGTTGTAGCTCTGCCATGGTCGCCACCATCAGTTCAGCACTGATTACAGACCTCTCAGTAGAACAGGTCTGAGTCACGGACTGTGTTCAAAATTCCCACAAAACCTTGCCCCTGCTAGCAGCGCACAGCTTTGGGAGTCACTGAGACAAGCTGACATCACCACATCTGGATGTCATTTCCTTTGCTTCTCCTTAGAAGCAGATAAAGTAGATGTAAATGTACAGCACTTGTGCTCTGTCGGGATTTGTCGATCAGCAGAAAAATTTGGCCATGAAGGAGCTGACGGAGGATTTGTAGCAATCTGAACATCTTTGTACGAGGAGCCGCATGAATCCGTCACCTTTACATTTTCTTTGTCCACATTAAGAAGCTAAAAATATTCATGTCTTTGGGGATTTACCGTCTAAACAGTCAAACATGCCAATATGGCAGCAGGCTACTAAATGTAAGAGCCGCACTGCACAATGTGCGGCATGTTGAACAAGAATCACTCCTCTTGAACATCAACTAACCATACATAATGTGTTTTATTGAGATTTTAAATTATACTAACACAGCATGGTACATTTTGTGCAGTGAGAATAAATTGGTACATGCTTTTGAGGATTTTCACAAATAAAGAATCTGGAAAAGCATTCATTTATATCCAGCCCAATTTCCTAAGTTACATGTAACTAAAACAGTGAAACCATCTTCCTTCAGAAGGTTCAGATTTTTATTTTGATAACAAAATTTTCTTTCCACTTTCAGCCAAAAAGTTCTGTAAAAGACCATACATTTTGTAACTAAATATAAAAAAGATCAAGAATTACATGGGAAAGACACTTCCTGGAGGAGTGTCTATTCAATAACAGCACATTCCTTCATTGTCAAGTCTCCTTATAATTAATTTGCTTGATGTTGATCCAGACCTCCCTTTGCTTTGCTCCGTAAACAAACCCTGGACACACGTCTCTAAATCTAAACATTTATAGCTGTGACACTGCAGTGTAAAGAGGTTTTAAGTAAAGAACTGTTTTGTTTTAATAGTCTGAAAGTTAAATAGACTTTTAGTTGTTTAGGCCCGTCATATTTCATGAATGAGAAACTTTGTGGAAGCCTGCTTCTGTTTATGATGTCATTAAACTTTAGATTTGCAAAAACTTCATTGATCCCAAAGGAAAGTTAAAAATGGGAGGATCCAATTTAGAAAATCCTATTTTACTTGTCATTGAGAAAAAGAATGCACTTTTAAATGTAACGCAGCACATTTACACTAACACTCGTGTGGCTCACCAGTGCACATGGCGAGACATGCACTCGTTGTGTGAAGGTTGTTGTGAAGCTGCATAGCTGAGCCCTGACCTCGCCTGGAAGACTGATGAGAAGACTTTCAGATTCACAGAATCTGTGCAGATCAGAGCCGAGAGATGAGTGTGACGTTGCTTTACGTTTTGTTTCTAGCGTGGCTGTGCGTTTGTCATGTTCCCTTCCTGGTATCAGGTCTGTGTGTCTGTCATCTGTCTGTCTGACATCCCTCTTTCTGACAGCTTTGTGAGTTCCCATGTAACAGATTAATATGTGTTATACATAATTCAACTCACGTCTTCTAAAGTTTTTCCCACATACTCCTTTGTTTACATACGTGACTAAAATTAAATGATTCAATGGCAAATTGGGACGACAACTCTAAGTGTACTTTGTTTACAATGACCCAGTCACAGACCTAAAGCAACTTGTAAAAACAAATGTATATAAATGATCCGGATTCAATCTGATTTGTTTTTTGCTGTTCAGAAAAAACAGCCTACAGATGTGGAAAGCTGGTTGACCTGTGATTCAGAAGAGCAGTTTAAAAATAATGTTTTTTTTTTACTTTTCAGTTTAAAAAAAATATATATATATATTTTTTCAAACCATGTCTAATTTTTTGTTCCACTTAAACATTCTATTTTACTTTGTGGTGGTTAATCATATGCCGAAGTGTGTGATTTTAACAAGATTTAATTTGCGTATGAAAGCCTTTGCAAGGCACTGCCACTGTCTGCTGAAATAGATTAAAACACCTGGAAAGTACTGGGATATACAATAAGATAGTATAAAGTTTGAGGTGGCCTTGAGTCAGAGGAAACAAACATCTTTGTGTAATTGGAAGTCAGTTCAAACACCAGCTTTGCCAAACTCTCTTCTGGAAAATAAATGAGTTCACAAGATAAGTATGGACATTGAGCTGCCTTGCTTTTGATAAATGCCTCACTATTCATGGACTGACATGCTGTAGTTTGAGGATGACGCGCCAAACAACTGCACAGTTTCCTTCTTCTGCTTCTGCTTCTGCTCACCTGTCAATGACCTGTGCAGAAACATTTATTCGGTTAGGTTCTGTTGTTTGAAAAGCAGCCACTTGGAACAATACCCAATATCAATGTTGAAAAAATGAGCTATCGTCAAACCCCATCATACTAGAATCCAAGGAATGTGTTGCAGTTACAGTTTTGAAAAGCGCAGGAATGTTCTCCAGCGTGATTTGGCACAATGATTTATTTCATCGTTTTCCCGCCAATTTCCTCTCTTGTCATTGCACAATAAATAAATAGGATCGAATCTTGACAAGTGGATAAAATCTTGCATGTCAAGTTCAGACGGTGTGAAATTCATTGGTGCAAATGTCAACATGTTTGAAAGTCTTGCAGCGAAGTGTGGCTCGAAGGACACCTTGAACACAGATACTCATGAAGGCTCAACAGTTCCTTGCCAATTGAAGGATCTCACGCAGGCATTTTGGCAAACATATCGCCGGTGCGGTGTGACAGGCCAGCAGTGCAGAGCTCAAGGTGTGACTCAGAGAGTCCAAACCCACGTCTGACCTTTTAACATCACACTCCACGTCTGATTTCATGAAGACCTTGTTGTTCCCCAACGAAGATCTGCAATTTGACAAGCCTCCAAAGAAGGAGCTTCGTTGAAGCCTAAGATGTTTCATGTAACATCTTGAGCTCATAGGTCACTCATATGAACTACAGTTGTTTTCCAACACATCTGTGTGAGGTAATTAGTTGAGTGGGAACAAAAGGGACCCTTGGAGGACGTGTCTGACTGGACCACTCAGCACTCTGTCACCCACACTCAAACCACTGGTTTAGATTGTGCCAGGAAGACAGGAAACTGAACAATCAGACTCCCACCGCTGAGAAGAAAACTCACTAAATGGGGCGGGGAAAGAAATCCCCCATTAGCTCACAGTAGCACATATGTACAAACACCCACACACGTACACACAAATCCCCACCGGACTTACAAAACTCCTACATTTATACCCCATCTTCAACAACAGCTGCCACCGCACCCCAGCAGAGGAAATGCCAAAGTCCTCTGAAGTGGAGCATAACAGCACTGCAGTTCTCATCCACCATTAATGAGAAGGCTGGAAAGGCAGGAGAGACCCTAATAGCAGGAAGTCGTAAGAATAATGCCGGCGTGAGGATGTCACGCTCCTTGTCCTGCCAACTCCAGTCAAATCAGCAGAGTCACAGAACTCTGGAAGGAAATGGATTAAAAGTGTGTGTGGGATAAGAGGGCATTCAGCACTGAATACATCCTCACTGAAGGCATTCAATTTGCTAAGTGTCACATGTGCTGTTGTTGAACTAGCAATTCAAATGAACATATGTATCACCATATAATAGATATAGAGTTTTTAGATATTTCTTCTAATAAGTGAAATGTATAATGTTGAACTCCCATTTTTGCCTGTAGATTACATTAAGTGTCGTAAAACATCACACAAAATATCAGGAGAAAATCCTGAGAATAAAACCTACATTTTTGTTCGAGGTGTGAATACTTTTTTCTCATTTTATCTCATCATGACCACAAAACTGAATGTATTTTAGTTAGTCTTTTAAAGTCCACCAACGCACAGTAAAGCATAATTGTGAACTGGGAGAAAATGATATGAATCTGGGACAGATTCTGATCTGAAACCCCATCACTGTATCTTGCCTTGGAGTGAAACTCCTCTCCAGTCTCACGTTTTCCAGCCTTTTTTTTTCAGTTTTTCTTTCCAGATTGTTCTGTTTTTAGCTATCAATCCTCCCGTTAACTCTCAACCGTTTCCCTTTCTTTGCTGAAGACAACCATCCCTGCAGCAAGAGCCTGTCACCACCTTGATCAACGGTCTGCTCAAGGTGTTAGTTTCTCCACAACTTTGTCCCAGACCTCTCCGCTTTGTTGCTTGATCATCATGCTGTCTGTCCTCTGTAGCCTTCACAGAGCAGCTGTTATTTGTTTTAACATCTTGAAAATGATACATCATTGTGTTGGTGAATGAACACTTTTCCGAGACTCTCGAGATGAAAAATTGAAGGCTTTTCTTTCACTGTGTCGATGTTCTTCAGAGGAGTACTCTGTGAACTATTTCCCCATCAATAAAAAGTTCTGCATAACGGCTCATAATAAAAAAAAAACAAGCAAACAAAGCAATTCTTGTGAATAACACAGGCATGAGATTTCAGGGTGTAGAAACCTGTGACTTTTATCCTCTGCATCTTTCCTGGATTATCTAAGAATGGCAGCTAAGCAAATTAAAGAGCTCAGGGACGTTCACATAATCCACAATCCTAAACCCTTGTGCTAGTGACCCACTGCACGAGTATGCACAGTGTGTGTGACTGCAGTGCAAATGCTGTCTGAGAGTCTGTTGTCAGCTTGCATGAGTGTGTGTGACTGAAGAGACCCCCAGTTGCTCTTTAAAACCGAGACTGCTTTTTTCTTTTCTGTTTTTTGTTGTAATAATCAGGCCCGGTTCCCATGAAATGGGTCCTCTCTGCGGCTTGTTGAGAGAGCCTGTTCTGTAACTGGCTTTTCTGCAGTCTGCCAAGACCCACTGGGGGCCATTTTAAAGACAAGATAGGATTTAGAAAGCCTGTCAGCATAACCACAACCGCTGGACTTTAACCACTGCAGCTTCTATCAACAGTATATTTGTTCTAAACGAGCTCTTTTATTAATGCAATTAACACCAAATGAATAAAATGACTCAATTTCCCTCCCCACTGTCTCTTCATACCTTCTCAGTATGAGGGATTGCTGCAGACTGATTTTCTGCTGTCACTCTGTACTCGTCCAGGAGGAGTGATTGCTGCCAGTCAATGACTCGATGCAATCTGTTCAGTCCCCTTAGACAGAAACTACTTTTTAAAGTACTTTGAATAATTAGCTGAGCTTACTGCACCTGCACTTTCTGATAACTCGGATCAACTGGATGTGTGTATGATTGAGTACAAACATTTTTATTTTTTGCAAAGTGCCTCAAGGTGACATTTGTTGTGAAGTGGTGCTATATAAATACAACTGAATTGAATTGAATCGAAGTTGTGTTATGGCCACATTTTGACCTACATAGTCATGGCGAGGCTGTTGCTCTGCAAACACAAGGAACACAATAGTTTTTGTGGCCCATGTTGTGGATACATGTGAGTGAGGTGGCTCTCGGTAAGCTGACTACAACAGAAGCAATAACACAATAACTGTATGAAAAATGTTAAATAATATGAGTTCCAATTGTGTTTAATTTTCTTTTCAATAAAGTGTTTTTTTTTATTATTATTATTTGAACTGAATTTGAAAGGCAGCATCTCATCCAAACTATGCAATCCTCTCCAGGTTTTCTTGTTACAATACTTGCTAAAAGTTTTCCTACCACATTTGTTTGGTCCACCAAATATCCCATTGATATTCTTTGTTTGAAGTGCTGAATATGGCCATTATCTTTAGTGATAACCTTTTGTGAGGACATTTCTAGGAAATTACATGTCAAGGTGCTGACCCATTGTTTTATTTTTTTATTTTTTTATGAAATACAAATCTGTATGAGATATAAGATTGTATGTATTATTCTAGTTTCAAATAAACCAGAATCAATAAGTGTGAACAGTGATCAATTCTTTAGTGTCTGTCTGCGTGCAATGAGCACATTGCAATGGGTTTCAGTTTTGGCACAGAATCACTAAAACATAAACAAATTGCGTTTCCTAGATATTCCAAATTTTCTGCTGTACAACAACCGATGTGCAATAGAAAATACTTTTTTTTACAATTCACCAACTGCTAACGTTGCCGTTTGACTTGCAGGGGAACACCTTTCCTCCCCACGACCCGGCGAGTGAAGTCATTACGCTTTTCACTCTCTCAACGGGAGGTGGGGCTTTTGGCGCAAACTTGTCCCACCCAGCCTCACAAAGACCAGCGTGTGCAGTCACAGCCTCTCCTCCACGCTGTGAGTGCGCACGCATCGCCCGCATCGCCCGCTCCGGTTTGGAACTACATCGCCTTGAATCTGCAACACTTTTCCCTGTGCGTCTTTTCGTGGCCCCTTTTCTCCCCCCCGCACAAAAAAAAGTCCCCCCTCTCCCCCCCATCCCCCCACCAGGACCCGTGAACACTTTGAAGCTGTGCGGGAGTGGTCCGGGAACTTTTTTGTTTTGTTTTGTTTTTTTGTTTTGTTTTGTTTTGCCATAATGAGCAGGCAAACGGTCAACCTTGACACCTACAGCCTGTCGCTGCTCACAGCCAAAGAGGACATTCTCAACCCCCGCTCCTCCACCAACTGGTAAAACTTTTTATTAACGCGTTTTGGTCGGAAACGTGATGCCTTTCGTGCCTTTGTTGAAACTTCCTCGCTCTTCACATTGTTTCGCAGTGTCACAGTTTTATGCACAAAGAGAGTGCGCACACAAAGTTGCGTAAGGGGAGGTTTGATTTGAATTGATCCAGTCAGAGATGTAGAGATGGCCAACACAGGAAGCCGCACGCAACTCCTGCTGTCTCTACCAGCTCAGATGTGTGCAGCTATGGTTTATCGCAACGATGCACTGACGCTGGGGAGAGCAGCACCTGGCCTGCAGCCTGCAGCCTGCAGCTGGCCTCACCCCGACACTGCGATCTGGGACTGCTGACTCTCTGATGGGAGCTCTCCTGGGATCGTGTTTCTGCTGGCGTGCTGATCTCTGACAGGGCTCGTTTTCCAGAGAGAGACCCTTTAATTTCTCTGCATTCATAAGAAACAATCGCACATAGCAACACTTTACACTGTGGACATTAGATGTCTTCAATAAACGGTGTATTTTATTATTTGTAGAAAAAATATTTGTAGAATTGTAGTGTTTTCCTTTTTTTTTTTTGCTGGGATGTTATGTTGTAACTTGACTACCTGCTCTAGCTTTTCTCCCTGTCTCTTTGTCCCAGAGCTTGGTCACTCTGTCACCGTGGCAATGCATCCATCTTTTCAAACAAAAGCAGCCTTTTTTTTTTTTTTTTTTGCATTTTCTTCCTGTTTACGCTTCATTTATCAGGGTTGGGGTTCTCCTTAGGCACAAACAGGTCACCTCTACTTGGTGAGAAAGTTAAAACATATTTCTTATTCGGTGCACTTTAACCACTGCACTTTTTATTACTAATTTTGACTTTTCGATCTTTTTTTTTAAAGCAACATTTATGAGCATAGAAGTTTTTATCTTCTTTTGAAAATCTTTTGACGGCCAAAAATCTCCTTTGGGCTTCAAAACTGCCCAAATTGCTTTCGTGTTGCATTGAACGACAAATAAAAAAATGCAGACCAATCTCTGACATTTTGATCCATATTGACATGACTTTTCAGCTGCTCATCCATGATGTGACCCTCTTGTGATCAGATAGAGTGCTTGAAACCTTGAGGCAGCTGGAGTACAGTGAAGTCATTGTCACCTTGAAGAACCCAGTTTGAGGTGATTTAGTAATCGGTGCATTGTGCATTATCCTTCCAGTGGTAACCACTTGAAGATGGGTTCACTGTGGTTGTACAGGAATGGACATGGTCGGTGACATCACTCTGATAGTTTGTGGCATTTAAACAATGCACAACGAAGATGCCGCTATGCCGAGTGTCCCTACGGTTCCTTCGCAACAAACTGAAGTGGTGGCTGGGATGATCTTCAGCTGCAGATGGTTGTCTGATTCATGATACGATGTGTTGGTTGTAATGAATAGTTATTCAAACTACTTTTGCCTTGACATATTCACAATCCAGCCTCTGCAGTCTCACGTCAGTGAGGCATTTTCTTACACACACCTACCCCTCACTGGATATTTTGCTTTTCAGAACTTTCTTTGTTGACCTGCAAGATGATCTTTTCTTCTGACTTGGCTATTGGGTTGGCTTTATTAAGCTTTCAATGAGCAGGTTTTGCTTCAAAATGGCATAAAAATTATACTTTTAAATGAGTGTTTTCTTAAAGTCTTGGTGTCTGAAATAGGAAGAAAACAGAGAGAATCACTCAACAAGTAAGTGAAGTGGGAAAGGAATTTGGCAATGTTTAAGCTCCACCCAGTCTTTCAGTGCGATTTGGACGGATTTAAGGCTCGAGGAGTTGTCCATTCAAGCTAATATGTATGTTTTTAATGTAGACATGAACATGTGCATCTCAAGGCACTGAAGAGTTTGTTTAGAATGGGGTGAGAGGCTTGGTTCACTGACAGATCCCGCCCCCCACTGTGTGACCTTGGGGTCCATGTGTGCATTATCTAATGACCTTGTTTTCTGAATGGGAAGCAGGGCTTTTGTCAGCAAGGCTACCAAAAAAAGAGGAGCGTTTTCAATGTGTCCTTCATTCAGACCTCCATGCTCTGCGTATGGCTTTGAAGGTCTCCGCCTGTTCTCTTTGAACACCAAGAAGTTTGTTCCTTCTGGGCTGGAAACGTGCACTGTGTGCATGTGTTATGTGTTTGTTCATGTAACAAGAGAACTGAAGAAAAATAAACTGCAAAACGTCAGGTTTCACGAGATTGTGTAATCCTCTGTCCAGGAAACCACCATAGTTGCGCGGAAAAGAAATTCAGATTTTGATTTTACATCAAGGATTAATTTAAATGCGACAACGAAGAATACATTTCCTGGGGAGGCCCAAAATCAAGACATGCAGCTGCTGAGGCAAACGTGTAATAGCAAAGGAGTGTGTGCTCACACATTACAGTTTAGTTTCAGTCATGCTAAGCTTCTCAGTGGGGAGATCAATGCTTTTGAATGGCTAATTAGCATATTGAGATCTTGTAAACAGTGACAGAGTTCTTCAAATGCATCTTTTCTGCAGGAAATTGAAACTGAAGTTTGTGGAAAGTTTTATTCACTAGAGATTACTGTAGTCAGGCACATAAAGTAAATTTATGATTTCATTGCAGCGACACTTGGTAACTCAGTTTTGATAGTGTATCACTAAAGGAAATGGTTGAAGTTGGATTTGTTTCTGACAAAATGACAACACTGAACAAACTTATTTAGGCAATCCATTAAAAAAAAGGCTCACAAAGGCCCATGATTTAAATTTTATGTCAATATTTTTCTTTAAAACATGCTTTCAGTCCATTTTTTGAGTCATCTGTTTTCATAAGCTGTTTCTTTTTGATGTTTAAGTAGGCTGCATTATGTATTATGCTGTACTTGGATGAGTCTCAAGGACAAAAAATTGAGAGAATTTTGACTTGGAAAGTTAAACGTTGTCAAGCCAATCTGAGAACAATATATAATATAACTATGTGTGTATAACAAGTTTATTTGCACTTCAGATAGTGTGTATCACACTGAATCAGTGGCACTAAAGGTTTTCTATAATTCCTAAATTTTAACATATTTCTTTAGTGATTTGGAATGAAAACAGATTATTGGCTTGTGATGCAAATACAAGTTTGCTTGGCCACTAACTAAATGCACATCCTACTGGATGTTGCACAGTTTGAATGTGATGTTTTACCCAATCAGAGATCTGGCTTCAGATTTTGGGACGAGAAGGAAAAAAAAAGAAACTATTTCGAACATCAGTGATGAAATCAGTGTTGTGTCTAACTTAAAAGAGACAACTTTTCAAAAGATCAATTTGTAGTCGTGTCTCTAGGCACTTTGCCAGAGGCAGCCTTTGCAGGAAACAGTACCCTATAAAATAAGCATGACATAAAAAAGAATGTGGCTTTAAAACTTCAACAACAAATGATCAAAATATGTCCTTAACAAGCAGAAATATATAAATCTAGGACCTGACTGTACTGTGGTTGACATACTTGGCAAGTGTCATCTTATTTTTAAGACAAAATGCTATATCTGCCCAAGCATCTAAAAAAAGAGGGTTTTATAACCAGTTAGGTGTGGTGCATAAAGTATAGCACCTTTAGCTGCAGATTGAAATGTAGCCATCTCGCCAGTCATTTTATGTTGCTTAATGGTCAAATCATTCTTCTGAAAATAGTCAAGCACAATGACTGAAATAAATATTTTCCAAAAAAGCAAGTTCTCTCTGGAGTTTTTAAAATCTGACACACACACACACACACGCACACACACACACACACACGCACACACACACACACCCACACACACACACACCTACACACCTACACCCCCCCCCCCACACACACACACGCACCCCCCCCCTCCTCACACCCACACACACACACAAAATATTTCCAGTTTACCCACAGTAACGAAACTAAATTTATTGAAGTGGTTTACTGGGATGGACACTGACACTATAATTGCTTAATATTTACCAATGATCTGAAAGGATCGAACACTTACTAAGGAAAGCCATTCAATATGAACATTTTTGGGGTTGAAATATTGTTCAATCTGTCATCACATAGTAATAGTCAGACAATTGCATTCACTCCCGTACTACCTCAAGCAACTCTGGCAACTTTTAAGACCTGAACTTTGCTTCAGTAAGTTGTTATGTGAAGAATCCCATACAAATCCTGGAACTTTCCTGCATATATTGAAACACAACATACCATCCAAATTTTAGATGAAAGTCTGCATTAAAAACCTATTTTAGCTTTATGTTCTACTTTCACTTTAGGGATACCTTAGAGTTGGCTTAATGTATACTGATGGCTAACGCATTTCAATGTGTGTCTTTATTTTCTCCTCCAGCACCGTGAACACTTTGCAAGTAAATTACCAGTTTAAATAAGTGTTAGCCCCTCCATTTCAGCATAGGCCTGGGGCGTGTGCTGCTGCTACTTGCCAGAAATTTCCACTGGCTCATGCATGATTAATTGATACCTTAAGAGTCGCTAAGTTTAAGGTTACTTCTTAGTAAAATACACCAGTGGGCATAAAGAGAGCATAGTAGGAAGAAATACAAAATATGTGTGTGTGTGTGTCTGCTGATGCATCTGTTTATAGTTATATAGTAGGAAGCTATATCAAAAAGCTTCCCATTGTTTGAACTTCTTCTCACAGGTTCTGTTTTTTGCTCTGTGTTATCGACAAAGATTGACGGAGTTAATAAAAGTCATATTAACACCGTCTTTTGAAATATAGGCTCTTATGTAATCTATCTGAAGCTGTGTAAAATACTACAGATAACAAATGGGCGAGGCAGCAATAGTTTTCACCATTTACTCAAAACAAGGCTTCTGAAGTTGAGCCCACTACCATGGAGATGGAACCAGATCGATTGAGCTTTCACACAAATAACAGCAGAGTGTAAAGGCAGCTCACTGAAAACGGGAAGTCAAGGAGTGTGTACTTTGAACCAATGCCCAGTCGCCTCTCTGATTTTGTCTCTCACTATGTTTGCTTCT